CACTTTCACGTTCCAACTGTTATGTCTGGAATTATTCATGTCACGTCAGAGTCTACGGAGCCTGCTCACGTCATGTCTGCTACTCCACAGTCTGCTCACGTCATGTCTGCTACGACAGAGCCTGCTCACGTCATGCCTGCTACTCCAGGGCCTGCTCACGTCATGTCTGCTACTCCAAAGCCCGCTCACATCATGTCTGCCAAGCCAGAGCCTGCTCACATCATGCTGTTAGTGTCATGCTTCCCTTGCCCTCATGTATCTCTGCCTTGTGTATGTGTCATGTTCTCATTGGTTATTGTCTTGTCATGTGATTATCAGTTCTGTTTGCTCATTGGTTGCTTTAGTCATGTGCCTTGTTCCCCATTGGTTGGTTTGTGTCATGTGATCCTTTTTGTTTGGTATAAGTAGCCCTCTTGTTGCCAATGTCTCTTGTCGTTTATTAATGTCTGTATCTGCTGTTGGTGAGTCTAGTCTGTTCATGCTATGTCAAGTGTGTTCAAGTCAAGTCTGTTCAAGTCAAGTCTGTTCAAGTCAAGTCTGTTCAAGTCAAGTCTGTTCAAGTCAAGTCTGTTCAAGTCAAGTCAAGTCTTTGTTTGGATTTCACTCTGTTAAATAAACTACACATGGGTTCTTCAACTTGCCGTTCAGTGAAATGCTCATTACAGAATACACCACCAAGAACATGAACCCAGCAGTTTCACGCTTCCTCTGCCTGCGTCAAGGAAACAGGGCTATAGAGGAATATGTGGAGGACTTTTGCGAACTTTCTCACTGTGTGGATTTTAATGACGTGGCGCTTAAGGACATTTTTCGTTTTAGTTTAGACGAACCCCTTCGTTCAAGTCTGTCTGGGGGTAAGATTTGTTGGTCACTAGAACAATATATTGACTATGCTTTGTTGCTGGCTGGTTCACCTCTTACTGTTGGGATGGCTGAGGAGGAGCCCTGCAATTTTGCACTACCATCCGCACCAGAGCACTTTCACGTTCCAACTGTTATGTCTGGAATTATTCATGTCACGTCAGAGTCTACGGAGCCTGCTCACGTCATGTCTGCTACTCCACAGTCTGCTCACGTCATGTCTGCTACGACAGAGCCTGCTCACGTCATGCCTGCTACTCCAGGGCCTGCTCACGTCATGTCTGCTACTCCAAAGCCCGCTCACATCATGTCTGCCAAGCCAGAGCCTGCTCACATCATGCCGGCCACTCAAGAGATTCTTCACAACATGGCCACCATTCAAGAGCTTCATTGCAAGATGGCCGCCACACAAGAGTCTCTTCGCGAAATGGCCGCCCTTCTAGAGTCTCGTCACGTCTCAACTGATCATCCAGAGTCTCGTCACGTCGCAGCTGATCGTCCAGAGTCTCGTCACGACATGGCCACCATTCCAGAGCCACATCCCATCATGGCCGCCATTTCAGAGTCTGCTCACGTCGAGCCTGCTACCCCGGCCAAGATGGCCGCCACGCCTGAGCCTCGCCACACCATGGCCATTACGTCAGAGCCTCGTCACGCTACGGCTGCCAAGCAAGTCTCCCCTAAGGATTTTTTTTTGGGGGGGGGGCTATAGTACCCAAGCTCCTGCAGATGCGGAGCTAGGGCCAGGACTAACAAGACTTATTGCCAGTGTGATGGACCCACCACTGATGTCAGTGCGAGTGGTTGGCATCCCAGTGGTCGCAACACTCTCAAGCCCGACAGGCCTCCCTCTGTCTACTGTGCTGCCCGTAATGGCGATCGCCATTTTGAGCATGTGGGCTGCACACTGTGCTCCAGAGGCCTCTTCTGTCCATGAATCTGCCCCAGAGGCCTCTCCTGTCCATGAGTCTGCCCCAGAGGCCTCTCATTTCCACGAATCCGCTCCAGTACCTCCAGAGGCGGCGGCATCCGCTGCAGAACCTCCCGAGGGGGCAGCGTCCGCTTCTGAACTCATAGTCTGCCCTGTTACGGCCAAGAAGGCCATTCATGAACTCACAGTCTGTCCTGTCACGGCCAAGGAGGCCGTTTATGAACATTCTGCCTGTCATGTTGCAGCTATGGTGGCTGCTCACAAACTCTCTGCCTGGTCTGTCACGGTCAAGTGGTCTGTCCATGTCTCTGCTCCGCCATGGCTTCCTGCTCTGTCGGCACCACTCGTCCGTCCTGCTCTGCCGGCACCGCCATGGCTCCCTTCTCTGCCGGCACCGCCATGGATCCCTGCTCTGCCTGCACCACCATGGATCCCTGTTCTGCCTGCACCGCCATGGATCCCTGCTCTGCCGGCTCCACCATGGCTCCATGCTCCTATGGATCTGATCCATGGCCCAGGTCCTCCGTTGATCCACAGCCTGCCTCTATTCCATGGCCCAGGTCCTCCAGTGTTCCACAGTCTGCCACTGCTTCACGGCCCAGGTCCCCCTCTGCTCCATTGTCTGTCACTGCTCCATTGCCCGGGTCCTCCTGTGCTTTGCTGTCTGCCGCTGCTCCGCGGCCCAGGTCCTCCAGTGCTTCACGGTCCAGGCCCAACTCTGCTCCACAGTCTAGACCTGTCC